TTCTTTTAAATGTATCATTTTTCCAATTTGATTGTTTGCTATGCCTAAATTGGGTCTCAATATGAGACTGAAAATTCGAAGCAAAATTTTTTCGGCTGAAAGTTAATGTATGATAATACTTTGACCATACTTTATCCATTTGATTTCTTTCCTCATTCAATTGACCCCCAACACTCTTGAATACTTATCGTGTGGTCCGAAATAAATTTTGAGTATTTAAACTTTAGTCTCGAAACTTTTGTTTTACTTTATTTTATCCCTTTTTCGTTTCTTCATCCAAACATAAGTTTTTCATAATAAAAGTAATAAATGACAAATTAAGCACTGATTCATCCAAAAAATAACAAAATATCATCATTGAGGACTACACTCATCAAGCATAGTTGTGTGAGCAGCACTCATCGAGATGGTAAGCGTGGCTACTTGTTTGTGTCTCACAGTTTTATAAGCCGTTGTAGAGTGGTGAATACTCTACGTAGCAAGATAGTTTTAGGGGTGATTTTTTATTGGACTTGTAATGTCAGATCTATTGGGCAACTACAATTTATGGTTTATTTGATTATCAATGTAAACGGTGACGACGGCAATGTTGACGGAGATTTGTGGACGGCCCTAATGGGCTGGTGTTCGACAAAGAGTAGGGACGGCAATTTGACACGGTAGGAAGTTGGGTTCTTTGACGCGGGTGAATTTTTGTGGTTTCTGACGATGAACAACACCGTGGAGTTTTTTTTTTCCTTCGATTTGCTTAGCCGAAGTTTTAGGGTAGTTTTGTTGTGATTGTTGGTGGCCTCATCCTCAAGTAAGGACCTCGCTTCTGTCTTAACGGTTTTTCTCAAAACTTTCAAATTTCAGAGCTTCGTCATCAAGCAGGGACTTCACCTCTGTTTCATCAACTTTTCTCAGAAGCTTTTACGGAGTCTCATCGTTAAACTAGAACATCACCTTTACATCATTTGCATAACTGCTACAATGAACCTCAATTCACGCCTACAATTTGAATCCCATCTATTATATAAATATCCACATATGGACTTAAGAGACTATGATGGTGTGTTCAAAATGCACTAACCAACAGAAAGGTAAAATACTCAAAGCTAATGCATCACCTCGACAAAGAGTAGTTCACCTCCGACCTACACCGAAAATCCATACATTATATAAATAACCATACATGAACTTGGGGGACTATTGTTATGCATCTTATAAAGAAGCTCCAAATCAATAGCAACGTGGTAGCCAGCTAAGCAAATCAATAAAACCCGCACTCCACGTCACCTCCTGCTTGGTCAAGGTGAGGCTATACAAGATAGTTAAGGTGATACATCATTTCAACGAAGGTGCCATGTCGATGTCGACCCTTCATGGCATATATGAAGTGTCATGTATGCTATAGGAAAGAAGTGCAAGGCTCCTATCCTCCACATTTACAAAAGAAATCTTCCAGATCACATCTTTTCAAGAGATCTTCCGTACAAAATTTGCTTGTATATAATTGATATGACAACTCATAGCAGCAACACCATAACGTCAAATTATTGGTCTACATTTTAAAGGTTGGACTAGGCTTTAGAGTGGCTGCTCATCGTAAGCATTAAATGCCTGTTAGGATTGATCGAGTGACACCTAGGAGAAAATATAAACCATCAAGATAAGGACATGAGTCACCTCATCCAATGGTTATCATTCCTCGTTTGCTACTATAAAATCTCACACATTGTATTGTTCAAAGTTGACATCAATGGCTAGGATTTACCTAATCCAATGGACTTCATTAGTTGCAAGTTGCCATCCATTTCCTTTGATCACATGGTAGCCAAACTGAAATTTGCTACCTTGTAAGTGGAAATTCTCAATACTCTTGTGCAAGTTGTCATGCCTCCACATCATATCTCTTTCCAACTCTATGCAAGTTGCATGTCACTTTCCAACCACATGCTAGTTAGCATGACTCTTTCAATACAAGTGGATAATCTCTCCAACCCATATGACCCATATGCAAGTAGACATCCATTTGTAGAAGAAGTATCCAAGTTGAACTTTTACTTACTTCCTCGAGTAAGTGACAGTCAAGTTGAACCTTGCTTTCTCTACCAAGCTTGTAGTAGTCAACTTAGAGTTTGTTTCCTCAAGCAAATTGTACAAGTTTCACAAATTGACACCCTCTTGCATCTAAAATCATCGGTTGAAATTCATGGTATTTCTCCCCCTTAATATATTGGTTTTCACTTTAAAAAAACCTGACTTCCGACCTTGAACCCCTTGCTGATGTTTTCCCTGCCTACGTATTATCTAGACAGTCTGATTGGTTTTACTACCTATATTTTGTTGGGTTAATAAACCAAATGGTTACTAAATTTTGCAAAAAGTTTTTATCGGGTCACTGAACTTAATTATCACTGAACTTTGCAAAAGGTTTACACGGAGTCACTGAACTTTAAAAATCACTCCACTCATCACTGAACTTCGCTAAAGGTTTACACGGGGTCATTGAACTTCAAAATCACTCCACTTATCATTGACTTGTCAAAAGATTTACACAAGGTCACCGAACTTTGCTAAAATTGTCCCAAGGGTCATCGAACTCAATAACCATTGAGAAAGTTTTTGCAAAGTTCAATGATGAATAGGAAAATTTTTAAAGTTTAATGATCCCGTGAAAACCTTTTGTAAAGTTCAGTGACTCCGTGAAAACTTTTTACAAAGTTCAGTAATGACTTGGGTGAATTTTAAAGTTCAGTGACCTGGTGAATTTTTTTTACAAAATTCAGTGACCATTTGGATTATTAACTTGCATTTTGTCTGTACAATCTGCCTGTGTCTCCTACTGCAGTGCTTGTGTTGGTCTTGCTCGCGTCTTCTAGCGCAGTGTCCGTGTTTTCCTTATCTACATTTCCTACCATAGGTAGTTCCGTCTTACCGTAGCGCACTTCCTGCGCTACCTAATTTTTCCAGCCTGTATCTCTTACTATAAGTAGTTATGCCCAGTCGATGCGATACATGATTTCCTCAACCTCAACTTGGCGTATTGATCACGACCATTAGGGACATAAGTCACTTTCCCACCAAATTAAGTGACGCCCTTATCATCGTGTATCGTCAAAACTTAGACCCGATTTGCTATAAGTCTACCTCATGTTCCCATCTTATATCGTGATATTCCCGCGTTATGTCAAACCTCAAGTCACTTTACTGCAAACTGTGACACTAATCTCTATGTGATTTCATTTTTTCTTTTGTACAATTGGATATTTTGTAGCTAATTATGTTATTGTCTCATTTTAGGTTTAAAAATCAAGCAAAAGAAACTAAAAAAAGACAAAGGGTCGAGTGCTAAAGAGACATCATCAACATATAATATGTAGAGAGTTGATATCCTTATGCCATAGTTTGTATTTGCATAGAGGAGAGTGTATCTTTGAAATTTGAGGATGAAGTCGACTTTGTGGGCCATCTTTTTGTTTGTTTTACATATTTTATTGATTTCAAATATTTGGAAATTCCATAAAGAAATTGAAAAATTCTCAACAATGCTTATCCATATAATATCCTATTATTGAGCACATAGCCATTATTACTTGTCATTAAGGTTTGTGCAAAAGATTAGATTGTTTGAGTTGGTAAAACTATGTTGCAATTTGTTCGTACCCGTTTTGAAACATCAATCAATTAACGTATATGTGAGAATAGTTTGAGGTGAATGGATTTATAATAACTAGTTAGTTGGATATGTTTTGATTCTATTAATGAATTGAACGTGTACAATGATTTTGGCTATCAAATGGAAACTATGTATTGACCGCATGCTAAAATTTAATCCCAGTTATTCATTCCAAAGAAAGCATTTAGTAATAGACCAAAAGAAAAAAGTAAAAATGTAGGAAAAAGCGGTTTGCATTGAAGAAAATGCAACATTGTCTTCTTATACTGAATAATGAAAGAATTAACAAGGGTGTCACGAATTGAGATTTTAATAGATTTTAAAAGTTATTCCAAATTCAAGTTTCTCCAACCGAGAATTTAACATATTTCAACGATCTTTTAAATTCTAGTTATCCTCAATAATTCGTGAATTTATAAAGATTTCACTAGTAAAGGGATTTTAAAATATTTGGATGGATTTCAAAGGTACAAATACACACAATGCTCCCGTTTGGCCCCCCTTCTTTTCGAATTTTAATGGTTGGAATAATGTTTTTTTTAAATGTGTGATTGAAAAAAAAAATTCATTTTTTTATTTGCGTATAATATTATTTTATGGAAGATTATGTGGTTAAAAATAAAAGAGAAAAAAGAATGAGAGCCAAATAGGGGCAAAATCTTTTGAAATTTCACAAATTTTAACAAAGATTTTATGAATTCTGGGAAAGTTTATTAAAATTCACGAAATTTTTTAGAATTTATAATTTTTTAAAATTCATTAGAATTTCAATTGAAAATACCCCGTAGAACATTTATGAAAACTTCTTATTGTACATGACTATTTATATGCAGTGCAATCTAACATACGCTTGATAAAAGAGTTGCACATGACTATTTTTGGTAAAATCGGAGGGTGGAGAAAACTTCTTATTGTACATGACTATTCTTATTGCACCTCTCCAAGTGGTAAAAGGGGAGGGTGGAGAAATCCAACTTTGCTTGAGGCTACTGCGTCAAGGGTTCGAATCCTGAAATATGGATTTGACTTTTGGGTAAATGTAAGTGTACAAGCAGCCTTCCACCCTATACCCTTGGAGGTATAACCTGCGATTTACCTCCCTCACGATGCTCCAAGGCAGGAGCGGTGGGGGACCCTCAAGGTTGGGGTTCAACTTTTTTTTTTTTTTTTTTTTTAAAAAAAATTTTCTTTTTTGAATTTTTTCCTTAAAATATTATTTTATTGAAAAATATATGATTGAAAATGAGTTTTGAAAAATTAATTTTTAGAATAATGAGAATCAAATGAGCAAATATTGAAGAGGTAAACTACAATTTGATATAATAAATAAAAATTGTTGCACCGATATAAGAATTTGCCCTTAAATACCAGAACAGGTTACATAATTCGCGTTTACCCTTTAGCAATCAGCACCTTCTTCTCTCTGTATTTTCTCCTCCAATATCATTTTGGATCTACGTGTCCAACCCGACCCGTATCTCGCTGTTCATCTCTCTTAATCTAGATTTACTGGTTAGGGGGGAGGTATATGCTTTAATCTTTACGTGATGTTTAATTCTCTTGTGCCTTTTGATTTCTTTGATTTTGATTTTTTATTTTATCACGATTCATTAATCATTTATTATACCTATTCGGTTAGTCTTAGGGTTTTTGATATAGTGTTAATTCGTGATTCGGCTTGATTTCATCAGTTGATTTTGGGTAAATAATGCTTTTATAAGCTAGGGGGGTTTTTTTTTTCCTAGTACATAATTTGTTTTAAATTTCTTTTCCATATAGCTCTTTTCTGTAGAAGCATGTGTAGAACAGCGACGGATCTGAGTTCCATTGTCCTCTTTTTTGGGTTTGAAAGCTTCTTCTTAGCGAAAAAAACAAAAAAATATTGTTTACATCCCTAGTGTATGAAATAATATTAATTTCTCATTTATAGTCGCTTGCTAATTTCATAAATTGCTTCCACATTAATCACGCAGACCCATTTGATGTTAATTTTGGTAACTCTAGAAGTGATGACTCGGTCCTATAAACGTGTATTTCTATATTTTTGTCTTAACATCTAGAAAGCTCTTTTTTGAATTGCAATATTAATTTGTATAATGCAGCATAAATTGCTATTATTAACTTATGTGAATGTGACAGAGATGTAATGTTACCTCTAAGATTAGGAAGTGAGTTCTGTTTTCTGAGGCTAGCACCCGAACCTTTTGAGGGGCAGCTGTGCATTCCATTACCTTATGCTTTTGGTCACTGGTCTTCTTCTTTTTCAATGCCCTAGGACATTTATGGGGTTGTCGATTATTTTAAACACAACCAAACTGAAGATCTAGAAACTAGAGAACAGAACAAGTGAAGGCTTGTGACCTTGCCTTCTACTATTAAGCGTGATAACTGGCTTCCTAGTCAAGTTTCAACCTCTCAATGGCAATCAGTATGGTGGTGACGGGGACTTGTGACACACAACTTTAGCCCCTATTTGTCTCCTTTTAAAGCAACGCTCTTTAATTTTCATACTCATTCTCAACAACATGTTCACACAATAATATATTTTGCACGTAAACTCAAAACATTTCTTTACTTTGTAATCATGCATTCTCCAAAAATCAGTATTCAGAACTTCATTTTTCTCAATAATGTCCATCAAACAGGGGCTTAATATCTTCTTTTTTTTATATATATATATTTTTCTCGCCCTCTTTATGTTTTTATTCTCTTTCTCCAACTTTTTCTGAAGTCATAGAGAGCAAATTTTTTAAATAGCTTGTTAATTGATTATTTTGTTTTATAGTTTTAGTTCTAATCGTGGATTCATGCTCTTATTATGTGATCACTACCTTATTTATTTATTATTGTCAATTTTTCGATCCATTTAAAATTTCTAGTTGCAATTGACTTTAAATTTTGTTGAAATATTATATAATGAAAATACGTTTCAACAAAATTTTAGATAGTTTATAGTCTATGCTTAGGCCGTAAAGCGATTCAAGCTTATGCGTGTCTCCTGACGGAGGCAAAACACCTTCATACCGAATTTTACCTTTCTAAATACTGCAAAACATGTAGAAATATGTCGTTATTTGTTCAGTTTGAGGCTTTAAGGTATTACATGATACAATTCATTGTGCTAATGGCCTTTCTTCAAGAGCAAATAGAAGAACTCTACACTCAGAATGACTGCTTTATTCTTGTAATTTTCTGTGATTTTCTCAGGCCCATATGGTATATGGGCAACATTGAAGTTACAGTCAATGTCATGCTTTGAGTTTTTTGTTTCATCAACTTAAGAGAGACGAGTAATGTTGTTGGAGCAATATGTAGGAATAAGACAATTGTTGGTTTTTGCGTCTCTTCTTTTTGCCTTTTCTTATACAGTTTCTTCTGACAAAATTTCTTGAATTTTCTTATTTCTGATACAATTTATTCTGACTTTTAAATCATGGTCTCCTGATATTTCCCCCAACTCAGTTCAGGTTATGTCGGCTCTGAATTTTGTTATATCTTACACATTGAAGTATAATCACTGCCAATGGTCAATTCTTTAGCAAGGCTGAATCTTTTGGCTCTGGTGAATCATAATCAAGACAACATTCATGGAATACCCGGATATTGTATCTTGCATAATATGGGTTACTGGTGGAAGAAAACATATGTGGAAATGATTCAATTTGTTTATGTTAGGACCTTAATGATAAACTGTAGAAAATGTTGTTGTCCCTATAACACAACAGCAAAGAGCTACCTATTCAAAGTTTGCACCCCAACCTGCAATAGCTAACACCGTATAATTTACTCATATAAAGGTGTGGGGGGTCATGACCCACTGCAGTTGATTCCGTGGCATTTGGAAATTTTGTTTTCATTTTTCATCTTTCAGTTTCATGTTTATCTGTCACTTGTGATGCGTGCTATTCGTCCAAATTATTCACAACTTCAAACTGTTGTCATGGGCATGTGTGTGGGTAATAGAATCAATCATACACTTGGATGACGTGTCTTGAAAAGGAATTTTTTTTAAGTTGTGTGTATAAGTTAGATGTGATGTATATGTCAAGAGATGCGTGCATGCTATGGATGTGGTTGGACAGTATTTTGTTGAATTAGGTAATTCAGCAAGTGCTGATATCCAATTCTATAACTGATGTACGGTGGTATTGTTTGTTGAAAAATTGCAATAGTTGTGTGGGAATCTGGTGTTTAAATCATGAAGGATAAAGTACAAATTCTCTGGGACTCACTGATGTGGCTTTGGCTGTGGTGGTGGTGGACAGGGAGGTGGCAGCAGCTGTGGTGTTGGTGATATTTTTCCAGGTAGTTGGTGGTTTACTGAGTGGTGTGAATTTGAAAATGAGCTTAGACAACCGGAGCCGGAGCAGGAGCAGAAGCCTGAGCAGGAGTAGGAGCCGGAGCAGGAGCCCAATGGCTCGAAAGATGCGTACTGAACGGTATTCTTACCGTGATGCACCATATAGACGAGACTCACGTCGGGTTTTCAGGTTATTTGGTCTCAATTCATTCAACTTTTCTAGAAATTGTACATGTTGGTTGGGAAGAAGAAAACAATTGATGAGTGGGATATGTCTGAAATGGAAACAGATTTGATGCTCTGCCTCGCTTTAGGAGACAGTTTTACATTCATGTTTGGATCTGGAATAAATCTTCATAGTTCTGTTTTGTTATATTATGCATGTTTTGATCCTTCGTTATTCTCGATCTGTTTCTCCTCCCAAGCTCTTATACAATAAATGACAATTGTAAACATGGTCTGGAAATTTGCTATCATTGTTTGTGAAGTATTTAATTGTTGTTGACTTGCTGCTATAGAATTTTATGCTTTGCCGCATTATGATATACGACTATTATTTAGTATCAATTTTCTTTATGCTGGTGCTATTCCCAGATATTAACAGTTTTAGTACGACGTTCTTTGCAGTCAGAGTACTCTGTGCAATAACTGCAAAAGGCCTGGTCATTTTGCCAGAGAATGCCCAAATGTGGCCATCTGTCACAATTGTGGTCTTCCTGGGTAAGAATTCTTTTAATCCCTATATGCTTATTCTAGTTTAAATTTTATGCTAATCTATTGTAGAAATCCTTTGTTTCTTCCCCTCCCCCCTCCACCCTCCGTTTTATGTTTCTCAACACGAAACATTCCTCCAATCCTAAGAAGGAATAACGATACCATTTTTCTCTTTGCTTTTGTTCCTTCGTAAAATAATTCAGGCATATTGCATCAGAATGCACGACGAAATCTCTTTGTTGGAACTGTCGAGAACCTGGGCATATGGCTGGCAATTGTCCTAATGAGGGAATCTGCCATACTTGTGGTAAAGCAGGACACCGTGCAAGGGATTGCACTGCTCCACCGTTGCCACCTGGTGATCTGAGGCTGTGCAATAACTGCTTTAAGCAAGGCCATATGGCAGCTGACTGCACAAATGACAAAGCCTGCAAGAATTGTAGGAAACCAGGTCATCTCGCCCGTGATTGTCAGAACGATCCTGTCTGCAATTTGTGCAACATATCTGGGCATGTGGCTAGAGGGTGCTCTAAAGGCAATATCCTTGAAGAGAGGGGTGGATTTCGCGGAGGTGGATATCGAGATATTGTGTGTCGGAATTGCAACCAGGTAGGGCATATGAGTCGGGATTGTATTGCAATGGCTATATGTCATAACTGTGGGGGAAGAGGACACATGGCATTCGAGTGTCCTTCTGGGAGGTTCATGGACCGCTTTCCTAGAAGGTATTAAAAACGGATGAGATATGTGGCTCATTCCTTACTTGTTTTGTTATTTGAAGTGAGATTGTTGTTTTCATCTTTTAGAGTGATTTTAAGGTTTGAACTCGGCAAATCTTGACTTAGTTCTTGGAAAATTGTTATGATTGTACTATTTTCAACTAAGCTCGTTCATTATGGAATACTTAACAGCCCGTGTTCGGTGCCATAAATGTTGCATGATGTGTGAAATTTTGTGATTTTCTCGATTGTGGGTGGGTTAATGATAATAGGACCTGCTATTCATTTTCAAAGGTTTACATCCCTAAGAGTTCTTTAGGGCAAGGGGGGGTACATGGAACTGGACTTGATTGGACAATACTATGATACCATGGAAAAGATTTCAATTTGTTTTTTATTTTCTTAATCTTGTTTAGTGTTATACTGTCGGCCTTACCGTGCAAATTGGAGTTTACAAGGCAATGGACTTGTAACATAAGATTAACTTGAATTTCCTCTTTCTTTAGGGAAAATTTTTGGCAGTGGTTCCAATTCTTTGGTTTTTTTTTGCAAACTTTATTTTACCCTGCACTTTGTGTTAGTGGAGATTTCAAACCGTAGAGAAATTAGCACTTGGTATCCAAATCGTTCATTTGACTGTTGATTGACTAAGAAAAGTTAATTTGACCAATTTTGACCAAATAAAATGATAAGTTTAGAATTGTCATATTAGATAAATAAAAAGACCAAAAAAATATGTAATATAATCATAGAAAATTTGAAGAAAATGTTTGTCTCCTTCGTTACGCATATAATGCTCTCTGATTTGCAGTCGAGAACTTGTAGCCCACGAAGCAATTATTGCCTGAGGTAAACACATAAACCAAAAAGTCGTAGCACCTACAATTCATAGCCTCCATGTCCATGGGTTCAATTCGGTCAAGAATCTTGGCATCGTAACCTTCAATTTCTTCAACAACAAAATGTCCTAACAAAGTCCATTTCAATTAAGCGATGGAATCAACAATAGGAGGAAGATTTTGAACTGAAGAACATAGAGAAGCAGAGCAAAGATCGTCAGCTGCACTGGGAAGTGGGAAGGAGGCTACCGTAATAGAATTTTATTCCTCCAAGTTTGATTCTAGCTAGAGTTGGCAATGGGGCGGGACAGTTGCCTTGTTTACGAACCCGTTTATTTGGTTTTTATTTTTATAATTTTTGATAATTCATTTTATTATTCACATTCATTCAAATTAGACAATAATATAGTTATTAAATTTTCTAATTAATTAGTTTATCTTCAAAAGTTAAATTATTCGAATATATTTGGTAAATTAAAGTTTTTATTGTTTATCATGTTCCTTTGATAATTTTAGTTGCTACCTTCTATTAGAATTCATGAAATTTATAGAGTTTTTCTATTTAAAGTATTGATTTTTTTATTATTAATTTTTTTTTTAATAAAAAGGAGGCGAGGGTGGGGCGGACCCATGTTACCCGTACCCAACTTGATTACCCGATTAAGCGGGTAATCCTCGCCCCTCGCCCCGCGGGCTTGACAGGTATTTTTGTCATTCTTAATTTTAGCCTTCAAAATTTTATCCATTGATGGCCAAAACTTAGAATTTGCAGACGATTCATTAAGCGAGTAATCCTCACCCCGCAGGTTTGACATGTATTTTTGTCATCCTTAATTTTAGCCTTCAAAATTTTATCTATTGATGGCCAAAACTTAGAATTTGCAGACGATTCATTAAGCGAGTAATCCTCACCCCGCAGGTTTGACATGTATTTTTGTCATCCTTAATTTTAGCCTTCAAAATTTTATCTATTGATGGCCAAAACTTAGAATTTGCAAATGATTCATAAAGTTCTAGCACATTCGGAAGATGAACTCAAAAGTGCCATCAAATATTCAACTTCCAAATTAATTCAAAATTTAACCAAAAGAAAAACGAAAAACAAAAAGTAGGTACATACAGATGTATACATAGAATATAATACTTGTTTTTAATACGGTATCCACAATAATGTCCGCTCCCCTCACATGGAAGGGAATCCTCACATGAAGGGGGACCCACTTCGTCTTCCATATGAGGGGAGTGAACACCGTTACAGACATCCTAATGTACAAATAGCATGAGCCAAAATACATATAGATTGATTCATAACTTATTTAAAATTAAACAAAAAAATAAATAAATACATATAGATTTATGCACATATATACATATATATTGAGATCCATCCATAGAAATGCATATAAAGACAGACAGAGCCATAGAAGCACATAAAATTGTCTAAAAATTAAGAAATTTGATCGAAAGCATTTTTCAATGGAGGTAGTAGGTGGGTGCTATGGGTTTGACTCGAGTTGGTTTTTGGGAGGGGTGAAGTGAGGTCGGGTAATTGGCATGGGAATGGGGGTGGGGACGAGGGAGAAAGAGAATAATCTCCTCGAACAATCCTTTGAACAACCAGGCTGCAGACGCCCTGTTTCGCTCGTGTTAATTCGCTAACAATTAAAGAGGATCAGACGATTGTGTAAGGGACGAAACCTCTTGAGACAAAGTCCCAAAAAGGGGTGTTCTTTTTATTGGCGATGAACTTTACAATTGGAAACGGAAAACAACGTGCCTCCAAGGGGCGCAAGCACACGAGTTACAGAAAAGGAAGTGTTTAAGTCTAAAAGTTAAAGGAATGAAAATTACATATTCTCTGTTCGAGAGTTTTGGATTCGGTCTTTTGCTTCTAAGTTCTTTCTCCCTTTTATACTTCATAGGCGATCCCTTTGTGATTAACTGCTCTAAAAAATTGCTTGATCGCCCTATAACTACCCACTTTCTTTGTAGTGGCCATTTTGTCATGAAACTGTCCTTTTAACTGCTGCCATTATCTTGCATCGTTCAACCGCTTTCGATTGAACCCTTTGAGTCGTGGAACGTGATAAGGTTACTTTAGCAATTTTAGCAACTGCCTCAATAACTGCATTTCTTGATAATCATAATGCGTTATGTTTGTTGATACCTTGGGCGACTTGAAGATTTGGGCGAGACTCTGGGCGACCGTATGCCACTCTATTCGTTCAGATTCTGAGCGACTTGCAAACTTGGGCGATGGCGTTACCGCACTATTGGGCCCCTTATTTGGGCATTCACCTTGATTCGTTCAATTGTATTTCGTTCTTTGGGTTATCTGATTTGGGGATCCTCCAATTGGGCTTTACTCTCTGGGCTGTTCGATCTGGGCTGAATTTTTATGTGTCAACAATTACCCCCCAATATGGCAGAATTAATAATAATTATTGAATTTTGCCATATTCACTTCACGTCTCCAGCAACGTTCGCGATTCCCAAAGAATTTCAATCATTGTTTCCTTCTATAACTTGAAAAGGTGCGTCGCTTTGCAAACCCTTATAAACTCCAAACACGCCATTTTACTGCTACCAAATCACGTTTCATATTTCTTGCGCATCCTTCACGATTCACTGTTCATCTTTTGCTTCCTTGTTACGTAACTCTGAAAAGTTTCGTTCCTTTTTCAATGGCTGCTTCACAATCTCAAGCTAGCGACTCCTTTAGTTTTGATGACTTTCAGAAACTTCTGAGTCGTTCATACGTAACCCCAAGTTTTCTCGCGCCCGCCGATGTTGGACGTAATGAGTTTTACTTGAGTCCTTTCTTCAACAATGCGGAGGCAGTTGAACAGGCGGCGGTGGGTCAGCTGTTTCCTTGCACTCATGACCCTCCTTTTCTGAATTCTTTGCCGCTGGGGCCACTTCGTGAAAGAGGTATTCGCACTAGGCCCAAATCTGACGTAGCTTTTCGTAGGTGGCATGCTCGTCTTGTGAGTCATGGTCCTACTAAGGCACTTTTTGATAGCGCTAGGATTTCTCACTCAACTGTGGTTGAGATCCTATTTTCCATCGCTTGGTGCTCCATCCATTTCTCATCCTTCTGCTAGCTGTTACGGGCTAGCTATGGAGCCTTTAACTCCTGTAAATATGTCCAGAAGGGACATTTTTTCATTCTTTTATTCTTTAGATTCAATCTCTTCCTTCTTTCCTTTTCCTCCTTTTTTGACTCCGGACTATGTACATCCTCCTTCCACTCTATATAGAGCGAGCACCTCTCTGCTCATTTGGATCCATTTCTTAACTGGGAGGGAGCTTTTCCACGATATCTTAACTGGGACCAATGCCAAAGTTGGGGTAGAAATTTATGCTCCCCAATTTTTTGCTCGGCAGCTTGGTTTCGGCCAAACTTGGCCCGTTCCTCTTTGCTATTCGAAGAACTTAAACGACCGTTTTCATACCATTAATAAGGTGGAAGCAGAGGCTATAAACGCTCGCAACCTCCATTTATCAAGCCATTTTTCATTAGCCCCTTTTAATCCTTGTCATGCTACTCACCCTCTTTTCGAACAACTTTGGCCATCGGTGAAGCGCAGATTATTTGCGACTGAGGCCAATCGTGCCTTTCATTCATTAGACCAACCGAGTATTTCTTCTCCTCCTCCTGTTTTGGTCACTCCTTTGTCTATTCGGAACCCCTCTCCTTCTCGTCGTACTAAACAATCTGCTCGTCCATCTTCTTCTCTCCCTGCCAGGCCAACTATGGCCAAGAGTGCTCCAAGCCACAAACGGCCAGCCTCAGCATCTCCCATTCTGGAGGATGATGTTGATGATGATGATGATGATGATGATGTCCCTCTTATCGTTAAGAGGAAGGTAATTAAATTGGTCTATTTACAAGTGTGCTCTTCCCCATTTGAAATTTTTCTGTGTACTGATGATCTTTTGGACTTTTCAGAAAAGCTCAGCTTCCCCTTCAAAGGCTTTGGCATTACCAACTCCTGCTCCATCATCCTCTGTTGAGGCTACTTCATCCAAACCGGTTGATGATGGGACCATGCTTAAAGGTACATCTTCAGTCCCAGATTCTTCATCACAACCCATGAATGAGCCACCTTCCTCCCAGGGCGTCTACCCCCCAATCACCGAAGCAGAAGGTAGTTCAGTTTTTGATGTCTTACCTTTGCTCGTGCTATTGGTTTCTGACTGGTTGCTCTTTGAACTTTGCAGATACTCCCATGAGTCCGCCCGTTGTGGCAACATCTTCTCGCTCAGACAAGGGGAAGTCCTCACGAATGGATGAGTCGTTGGTGGCCAGCTTGGCTGAGGGTGCGCCATCTTCTACGATTGTTGACGAGGTAGTTTTTCTCTTTGCCCCATTCCTAT